CTGCAATTTCTTTTACTGCAAACTTTACAGTATCAGTTCTGTGAAGCAATCAGTCAGATAAAAGTAATGAGTACTTATTAAAGTCAACACTCAAGTAAATCCAACCTCCATTAATGTTAGAATGCAAAGCTCATTAGAGCGCGAGTCACTGAACGACAGATGTGGAAGACGAAAAATAAGGAAATATGAAGAATTCTCATTTGAAGTAATGAAAACAAGCGTACGTTTTCGATGAGATGCTGCCGAATTGTTTTCACTTTGAATGGTACTCAATATGGTACGCTGGTGCTCAGGTGAGAAGTGAAGCTGAGCCGAAGAAGCCTCAGAAGGTGCAGCACCGACACTGAGCAGTTCACTGCCTTCGGCCGATCGTAATTTCGATGGTACAGCAGCACCTTGTCGAGGTGAGACTGGACGTCGTTCCACTGTACTCTGATAGACTCGTTTCTCAGGAGATTGATGCAACTGGAAGTTTTCATTTATTGTTGTTCGGTCATAAATGATGGATTAGAGTTAGCGAGTTGGGAAAACGTAGTCTCTAGTACGATGAGACTCCTCTAGCCGAGGATGGTTGTTGGATTTCACCAAAAACTTATGATGTATCAAATCAAAATCTTTATCATAGGTGAGAGGTGTTGACCTAGATGAAACAATGAACACAGCAGGATTTAACCTTCAGTTACAGCTCTCAAGATACCTTTACTCACCTCCACGCATATTCTCAGGCTATTTTTGATCACTGTGAGAGCAGTCACTCTTCAGCAGTGGCTTGCCTAGCTTACTGATGAATATGATTGGGATTCTGAGAGGGGATTTCATTTGAATGCAATCAGAAGAGCTGACCTGACGGTTTAAAAGTCCGTAGAGTATGAAATTAGACGCTGAATTGATGTATGGTAAAGCGTGAACACCGTACATAAAATATATAAATGAAGAATCAGGCGTTTGCAAGTCGGGTGGTTGGAACACCTCAAGGTAGAGCGAGTACAACACCGAAACCCAATATGGTGTCCTGAAAGAACACCTTTTGCGATTCCAATGCTACGTTTATGAGTCTTGAAATTCAATGTGATAACACGGAAAACACTTATAACAACAGTCTTTGACACTGTGCGTTGACTCCTTCAAGCCTTAAGTATCCTTAAGTGTTATCGTTATTCGCCTTAAGCATTCCAGTATTTAAGGCAAACAATGATTATGTTTTGGTTCCTTGAAGCAGTACAACATGAACATACCAGCAAACAAAATGAAACAAGCATATGGCCAATGTATATGCTGCTATTCGGCCAATTGGAATTTTATCATCCAGTGACGCCTTGCAACGTCTCGAACCGAGCAGTGTTCGACGTGCCATTCGGCTCTGCTTAAGAAGCCTCATCAACATACCATAATAAAAGTAGATCATCAGAAGGAGTGGAACCAAGTAAGCCTGAAGTATGAATATACTATGTCAAGCATTCAGTACTGGATTGAGAGGCCCCAGCTAAGCCCTTGCCCCTCCACTGACCACTTTTTCAATAGAATCGCTCCCATTTAACAATGGACAAGTTGTGATGACCTAACCAAGGAATTGATCGACTGAGATTTCAAAAGTATCAGTTGAGTAGCCTGCATTTTCAGTATTTCTG